GAGCATCCGTGAGGCCTTGAAGCGATAACCATGTTCTACAAAACCTGGCTGGTCTCCAGCTGTGGGCGGTGCAGACCTTCTCGGACTACAATCTGCCGCTAAAACCCAGCCCCCGAGCCACGCCCTCCCTCCCCGGGGTCACCACGTGGGGCCTCAACGCGTGAATCACACGGTTGCGTCTTCCATTGTTTCCGCTAATCCTGACGTCGGGCCCCTTCTGTAAGCTGCTAAGAGGCGGCTGAACTGGTGTCTAACACCCTGGGCTCCGCACACACGTGAGAGGCCACGGCCTGTGCACGCGTCTGTGTCTGTGTGCGCAGCGGACGCGTCCTCCAGGAGGGGCTCCACAAAACAGCCCTCACACTCGTCTCCCAACGGCTGTGAATACTGGTGTCCGTTGTCCGGCCTGAGCTCCACGGCCAGGGCTGGCGAGGGAGGACCAGAGGGGAGCCCTGGCCCGGTACTGACTGTGGGACAGCGGGTGTCCCGTGAGGGCGTCATGTGACTGCGGCTGGGGACACGTTTGGTCCAGCACAGGCTGCGGACCAGGGGGCACCAGGCAAGTCCCAGAGGGGGAAGCAGGGCTGTGGTCGCCGTGATCGGCTCGCTTCGGGTGGGCGTGGTCTTCCCTGGAGGGGCGTGGTCTTCCCTGGAGGGGGCGTGGCCACTCACCTGACATACATGTCTGCGTGGTATTTCCTGCCGTTCAGGACGCCCAGCAGGGTGGGGTTTTCATTGTTTCTGAAATTGAGTGTACAGTCATATACAGCTGAAACTATAAAAAATAAAACAAATACAAAGCAGTATATAGCGTGTGAGCCCAAGTTTGTTTCGTAGACACACACGGGAAACAGTGAACGGAGCGCGAGCGGTTATCGGGGGCGCGGGCCGCGGCTCCTCTTCGCCTTCCCGTCCTGGCCACAGCTCAGTGTGACCGCGGGTCACGTGTTGGAACCAGAAAGGCACCCTGAGACTCAGCGATGGAAACCGGACCGCTCCCGGGGGGTCGGACGAGGGCCGAGCCATGGCCCGCCCGGATGCACGCCCCACCGATCCTGCACGTGGCCGCGTAAGAGGAGCCATCAAAGGGGACTCGCTGTGGGTGTGCTGAGCGCTGGGCGATGGCAGCGCAGCCCCCCAGGGCATCTCCCCAGGAAGGCAGGCAGCTACGCGCTGGACTGAGACACCGGGGATTCTGAAGGAATTGAACTGCGGTCCCTCAACACTTGGCTGAGAATCAAACAAGAATGGGGTTTTAAATGCCTTGCCTGGGCGGGCCACCCCGCAGAGCCCTCGCTGTCCACACCCCGCAGCCTGACCCTGACCGCTGAGCAGCTGAGGGCGTCATGGGGTGTAGAGGAGGCCTGAGGACCAGGCCAAAGAGCGAGGCCGTGTGGACAGAGCCACGTTCGACCGGCTGTGTCTCTCCCTCCGGTCAGCGCCCAGCCTGACCCCGCACACAGCCAAGCGGCCCAGATCCCCACGGAGACGAGGGGCAGGGTTTGTTTTTTGGGGAGTGGCTGGCGCATGGCAGGAAAGAATGGGGTTTCTAACCTGAGGGGCGGGTTGAGCAGGAGACAGGAAGTTGTGACAAGAGGCTGGGTTCGTCACTGCTACTTCCCTCTTATCCTCACCGAGCGGGGCCGAGGCCCAAACTCAGGTGACCAGTCACCGTGCATCCTCGGGGCAGCAGGTACGGGCAGAGGAGCAGGAAACGCAAAGCAAAACAACCACCTGGGCCCAGGCTGGTGTGGCTCAGTGGATAGAGCGTTGGCCTGCGGACTGAAGGGTCCCGGGTTCGATTCCGGTCAGGGCACATGCCCGGGTTGGGAGCTCAACCCCCAGTAGGGGACGTGAAGGAGGCAGCCGATCAATGATTCCCTCTCATCATGGATGTTTCTCTCTCTCTTCCTCTTTCCCTTCCTCTCTGAAATTAAAAAAAAAGGAAAAACCCCAAAAACCACCACCTGGTCTAACCGGGCAGACAGGGTGTGGGCCACACTGGACCCAGGGGAGGACCCAGGACTCCCCATGGCCACGGCCTTGCAGTACTGGTACCCAGCAGTGGAGGGCAGTGTTGCCTCAGAGTGTGTGTGTGTGAGAGAGAGAGTCTGTGTGCTCAGGCATGCAGGCAGCGCCACAGAGAGAGAGAGAGAGAGAGAGTCTGTGTGCTCAGGCATGCAGGCAGTGGCCACACAGCCCACACCAGGTGCCTGGTCCCTGGCCACCAGGGAGGTGCGTCCTTGTCCCCTCCCCTCCCACCCTCTGCCACCGTGAGCTGGAGGCTCGGCCAAGGGCACAGCTGTGCGTGTCGGGTGCGGGCGCTTCCCTCGCAGGGGATGGGGGTAGGGGCGGGCCTGAGAGTCTGTGTGCTCAGGCATGCAGGCAGCACCAGAGAGAGAGAGAGAGAGAGAGAGAGAGAGAGAGAGAGTCTGTGTGCTCAGGCATGCAGGCAGTGGCCACACAGCCCACACCAGGTGCCTGGTCCCTGGCCACCAGGGAGGTGCCATCCTTGTCCCCTCCTCTCCCACCGGCTGCCACCGTGAGCTGGAGGCTCGGCCAAGGGCACAGCTGTGCGTGTCGGGTGCGGGCAGTTCCCTTGCAGGGGATGGGGGTAGGGGCGGGCCTGGAGCTTCCTTACCTACATTTCTCAGGCTCCGCACGGTGACGGCGAAGCCCTTGGTGCGCGGCAGCAGGTGGTGCTTGAGGCTGGGCAGCCCCTTGGCCTGGGCCACCTGCATGCTGATCTGGTGCTTCTTCTCCGTGAAGCGCGTGCCCTCGCAGTGGATCAGGAACTGAGGGGACAGCCGCACACGGGCCGGTCACTCCCGTCCGCAGGCCCACCCCCCGTCCCAC